TTCTAAACATTTTTGCTCCCACGCCCACTTGCATCTTTAGAAAATAAAAAATCCCCCTCCCATGGCTTCGAGGGATTGGGAGGGGTTCAATAAGTACTGAAAATGGTTAGCCGAGGCACCCAATAGAAAGGTATTAATGGCGATACTTTCTGATTTGTTTCATGAACTCATGATTCATGAGTGGATTCTTATCTAACGCAACTTTTATCTGTGGGCCGTAGAAAAAGTTTCAGTTGGGCGGTGATGTCAGTACGATTAAAGTTATACACACTATACTATTAGATCGAGATGGTGTTAGACAATTCGTATGTACAATTATGAAATTCATGCAAGATAGAAATTTGTCTAAAATGCTGATCTACATTTCATGTCATCAAAAGTACGAGGATAAAGAAACTTCCAATATGATATAACATTTAATGAATATATCAACAAATTTTCAGAGAGAAATCAGTAATTAAAGCTTAGTCTAAAACACATGCGTATCATATATATATAGATATCTTTGTCAGAGATACTCATGGTTTTAATTCAGGTTTACGTATTGAAAACATTTTTCCTCCCATATAGACAATATATTTTACCTGAACAATTTGTTAAAGATGACAGTTGTGATTATACTTCTTGGCGATCGGCTCAGGAAAGACGACTCTGTTAATTCCCTTTCAAGTGTATGGATTGCATCTCACTTGTTACGTTCTTCTGGAGGCAGAGAGAGAGAGAGAGAGAGAGAGAGAGAGAGAGAGAGAGAGAGAGAGAGAGAGAGAGAGAGAGAGAGAGAAGAGAGAGAGGGAGAGAGATAGAGAGAGAAAGAGAAAACTAACTTCCTCCGACACATTTACGATATTGACAAACTTTGTTAGCTTCTAAAACATGCATATACACACATTTCAAAGGAGAATGAGCCCCATCGACCGTAGGAAATAGATATTCAATATTCAGTTTAGTTTTGTTTTTTTTCCTTCTGCTGTCTTCTGCTACTGCTTATAAACCTTAAGGATCTGCTCATTTCTGACCAAGAAATTCAAAGTATTCTCGAATTTTCGTTCAAGTCAGTCTTTAGGTTGTCCTTGAAGGTTCCTCGAGGCTCTATGTTCTACTTGAGCTTCTTCTTGACTTCGAGGACCTGCTCGTCTCTGACTTCTCCTCGGTATGCAAGGTGATTCTCGGATTCCCTTTCGTTCAAGTCAGCCCTAAGTTCGTCCTTGGAACACTCCTCCAGGCTCTTGCCCTTCCCGTAGAAGATGTCCTCGCGATACACCTTATTCTTCTGCCTGTAGGTTCCGTGGATCTGGGGAGATGGCGAAATTATTTGAATTTTCATTTAGAGCCTTGCCCCTCTCATTCTGGACAGTTGTAAGTGTTTTTCGACCCCAACAATGTTGATCTTTAAAAAATCTTACTAATGGATTTACACACACACACACACACACACACACACACACACACACACACACACACACACACACACACACACACACACGTATAAACATATCGATTGGGCACAATGCATCAGTGCCTTTACTAAAGAAAAAAATAAACCGTTCGTACCGAACTGTGCTAGTCTAAGCAGAAAAAAAAAATCAAAATCTTGCAAATAAAACGTTATAAAATATGATATACATTATATTCATTTTCATTTAACTTGAAGAGGTTAGCAATGATTAGTTAAATGCAATCTGTTCGAATTACGTTCTATTTCAAATATATGTCATAATCAAAAATGAAAAAGACCATTTATCTTTACCAGAATGCATTGCGCTCAAAACGCACATCTTAATGAATATGTAAATAAACAAGGAAAATAAATTAATAAGTAGATACAACAATGATAACATATCCACTAACTTTATCCCAAATTTCGCAGTTAAATCCGAAGTTGACATGGAAGTACTGGTGGTGGTTGTCATGGAAGATACAGTCGGGTTGCCAAGGCTGCCACCACTGAGCCTTGAAGTTGATCCCGGAGTGGTCGATGATGCCGTGGTAATACAGGTACATTAACAAGGTGCAGAAGACAGCTGTAAATGAGACAAGCTATTCGTTTTACACGTATATAATAGCATTTATAACAACTGCAACAATAACAACGATAATAATAACAAACAACGACAATCATAACAATAATTATATCAACAATAACAACGATATTAATAACAACTATAACAATAATAATAGCAATAATTATAGCAACAACAGTATGATATGGACTGCTTACACCAGTGAACAGGGATGATGAACATTGGGCTGAACTGCACGACCTGCATATGAAGGAACTCGAACGGGTGAATGGCTGTTACACTGAATGCCGTTGGCTGCTTGTACTTGTGGTGGAGTTTATGGAAGTTCTTGTACAAGAAGGGGATGTGGTAGATGCGGTGATGCCAATACGTGAGGTAGTCCTAGAGAAGTGGAATTTGTAAGTATATATAGATTTATCTCGAAAATCGATAGGCAAAAACTTGTTATCAGTGTGTACTTTCAATCAGTTAGGAGTTAT